AGTTGATTAATGGTCCTTTTCAATTTACAGGAGATGAACTAAGAGAAAAGTTGAGGACTTGAATATACAGTCAGGAATGAATGCAGCATAAAGTAATTTTCCCATCTATATTCAATAGCCATTATTTTAAATCTGCCTAAAGCTCATTTATATCTACTTAAACTATTCACACATATCAATCAATAATCCTACTGGATGCTTACATCCAGTTTATTTGTTGTCACTAAAGGCACAAAAACCAGAAGACTTTCAGAGATGTCTGATCATAAATATTTGTAATTAAGTTTGATTTCAATGTTAAAGAAATAAGTTTTTTCATTTCTATCCAAAATATTAAAATCTAAATTGCAGAAAGTAGCCAAGCAAACTTAAACATATTAGGATTTCACATTCCTAATTTTTTGGCTTTTTCTGTGGTAAATGATTATATAAATTTTAAATGAAGTGAGACAAGAAATCAGTTAAATCTGATACAAAGTCAATGTAATCCTTATCAAAATACCAACATCATTTTACACAGAATTAGAAAAAAAAAATCCTAAAAGTCATATGAAACCAAAAAAGATGTCAAATAGCCAAAGTAATCTTAAGTAAAAAGAAGAACAAAGTGGAGGCATCACATTACCTGACTTCCAATCATACTACAAGGCTATAGTAACCCAAACAGTATGGTAATGGTATAAAAGTAGACACATAGATCAATGGAAGAGAATAGAGAATCTAGAATAAAGCCATATATTTACAGCCAACTGATCTTTCACATAGATGACAAGAACATACACTGGGGAATGGACAGTATTTTCAATAAAAGATGCTGGGAAAATTAAACTGCCGTATACAGAAGAATGAAACTGGACTCTTATCTTTTACCATGTACAAAAATCAACTCAAGATGGATTAAAGACTTAAATGCAAGACCTAAAACTATAAAAATAATAGAAGAAAACCTAGGGAAAACTGTTCTGGACATTGGTATAGGCAGAGAATTTATGCTAAGGCCTCAAAAGTATAGGCAGCAAAAACAAAAATAGACAAATGGGACTTAATTAAACTAAAAAGCTTCTGCACAGTGAAAAAAATAATCAACAGAGTGAACAATCTACAAAATGGAAGAAAATATTTGGAAACTATTCATTTGACAGGAAACTAATATCCAGAATACACAAAGAACTCCAACAACTCAACAACAAACTAATAATCCAGTTGAAAAGTGGGCAAAGGGGACATGAACACTCCTCTAAACAAGACAGGCAAGTGGCCAACAAGCACATGAAGAAAGGCTCAACATCACTATTCATATGAGAAATGCAAATTTAAATCACAATGAGATACCATATTACACCAGTGACTACTATTAAAAAGACAAAAATAACAGATGTTGGCAAGGATGCAGAGAAAAGGGAGCACTTATATACTGCTGGTGGGGGAACACTTACATACTGCTGGTGGGGATGTAAATTAGTACAACCTCTATGAAAAACAGTATGGGGACTTCTCCAAAAACTAAAAATAGACCTATCATTTGATGCAATAATCCCACTACTGAGGATCTACCCAAAGAAAAAGAAATCAATACATCAAAAAGATACCTGCATTAGTATGTCTGTCACAGCACTATTCACAATAGCAAAGTTATGGACTCAATGTAAGTGCCCATCAACGAATGACTGGATAAAGAAAATGTGGTATATACACACAATGGTACTGTATTAGTCAGCCATAAAAAAGAATGAAATGATGTCTTTTGCAGCAACATAGATGGAACTGGCAGCCATTATCTTAAGTGTAATGTACACAGGACAAATACTACATGTTCTCACAAATGGGAGCTAAGTAATGCATACAAATGGATGTAGAGTGTAGAATGATGGGCAGTGAAGGCTCGGAAGGGTGGAGGCATGGGGGGATGTATAAGGAATTACTTAATGGGTGCTGGTACAACTTACATTATTTGGGTGATGAATACACTAAAAGCCCTAATTTCACCACTATGCAATATATCCACATAACAAAATTACACTTGCACCCCGTAAATTTACACAAATAAAAAAATCTAATGTTAAGTTTGAACTGTTACTATGTGCCAGTCACTGTTCTAAATATGTTTCATATGTAACTCATTTACACCATCTAATGAGATAGGTGAAATCATACTCAAATTACAGCCAACTTGGGAGCAGAGAGGCTAAGTGGCTTACTCAACTTCACACAGGTAAGTGATGGAGCAAAAATTTGAACCAGGGAGTGTGACACGAGAGCCTTCATATATACAGGGCAATACAGCTGCTCAACAGAGATGATGAGAAGCCTCTGTCACAGTCCTTTGGAATTTAAAAACAGCTGAATGTGCTTTGTCACTCCAACAGAAGCAGCCCATCCTAACCAGCCAGTCTGTGCAAATTCACAAATTTGTAGGTCTATGTTTTGGGCTTATTCCTGTGCCACTTATTTGCATTAAAAGGCATGCCCTTGGTAAAAATATAAAAAAGAAATTATTTTAAAAAGTAACATCTGTGTACAGCTTTGCTTTCCCACAATACTCTTGATGCTATTAAAAAAAAAAAAAACAACCCAAAAAACAACAGAAACAAAACATAACTTGAGTCTTTAAATTCCCAGTTTATTGACAATGAAAGTGAGGGGTCAAGGTTGTAGCCAACATTGTAATTTAGCATTAAGAATTCAAATCCAGTTCTTCTAACTTTAAACTCTGTAAAAAGAGATGAGATACCTTTTTGGAAAAATTAATATTGAAAAATTATTAGGTTTTATAAATACAAAATATATAAAACCTATGACTCTCAGGTTCATCTATTATATAATGGAATCAGATTACAATCTTTCTCAAGTCTGTTTAAACTCTACAAGTCTATGTTTCTATAATTACAAATAACTTATAATTTTAAGAATATCAGTCTTTGCTCCCGTCTGCTTGTACAGAGAACTATCCATATCACAAACAACCAAATGATACATCGCAAAAACAATTAGAGGTTTTCAATCACTTTATTTTAGAAAAACAACGGTTTACAGCCCTAAGGCAGGATGTCAGAAATTCAACAAGTTAGTAATACAGACTTTCAAAAACCACTACAGATTAGTCCAAAGTAGAAAATTATTTTTTGCCCACTCTTGGACTCAAACACATTCAGAAAAAATATATATTTATAAAAATAAAACAGCAAACCTAATCTCCCCAATTGATAGTCACCACACTGGTTTATTTGAACAATTTCTGCATAAGAATGGCTGAGTGAATTTTTCCCTGTCCTAACCCCAATGTCATATCAAGCAATGATAATAATATTTAAATTATTTTGCAAAACCAAAACTAAAAAGGCACCAAAGCAAAAAACGAGAAACATCATTAACAAAATCTACTAAATAAAAAATACAGCTAAATTGTTTTAAGCACAAATATAAGACCCTCCAATCCCTAGACATTTGGCATCTTAATGTTATTTCTAAACCAGATATTGGAAGCAGTATGAGTGAGGAAGAAAATGAAAATTACAGGCCTCACGCACCCCAAACAAGCTTCAGATACTAGTAGCTAGGAAAATATTGAAGCACACAATGAAATTAAAAAAAAAAAAAAAAAAAAAAAGAATTGCAAGCTAATGGGTGCATAGGTTACTTGATAAAAACATGCACTTTGCCTCCGAAATATCCTTAAATATTGTCTGAGCACCAGATGCAGCAATAGCAAAGATGGAGAATTTTGAATTTTACAAGTTAGAAGTAGAACTTCCTTGTAACCGAAAGAGAAGGCAAAACTTCAACTTACTGAAAGACCTCATCATTAATATGTGATCATAAGACTCATCACTGAATCAGAATGATACCTATGTTCTACTAGATTCAATTATTTAAAAATCTGCCTTTATTTTGAAGTATTTTTTTCTGAAATGAAAATAATGTTCATAGTAAGCTGATATCACATTGAAGGGAAAAGCATACGAGATAACAAATTTTAAAATTTGTTTTGTGAAGTCTTACAATATAAATAAAAATCTCCCCAAATAATGACAAATGTAAAATTCTAATATAAAAAGAAATAAAATTATTCAATTATAAACCACCTACATTTTCTTTTCCCAACAGACATACTTTAAAAGCACAAACAGAATATGAAGCAATAGTACGAAGCTATGAAAGGGTAACAGAACTAAGGCATTCATTTTTAAAGGACATCACAGAATACAAAGGAAGATCACTGGATTTTTGTTTGCTGGTAGACATTGAGCTATGCTCCTTTTTTTCTATTGAGGTCTTTTGTATTTACATGTGATGATGAAGATGACAAAAATATGCAGAAGACTAACATTTGATAGTGATAAACCTGAAGAAAAAAAAAATCAATGACATTTTCTATAACTATTTCTTCATGTCACCAACCATTAAGTTTTCATTTCTTTGCTGGACTGTCTCCAATTAGGTATCTGTATATACCCATACCTTTCACTACTTAAAACAAGCCTCCCCATTGGAAACATTAATATTTATCTTCCCCAAAAGAATCTCTCATTATTCTGTGCAAAAGATATCTCCAGTGTCCACTTAAGAACATTTCATTCTAGTATTTCCTAAAATTTCCTAATGAAATATTTGTTTCATTATTAAAAAAATAATGGGCCGGGCATGGTGGCTCACACCTGTAATCCTAGCACTCTGGGAGGCCAGGGCAGGTGGATGGCTCAAGGTCAGGAGTTTGAAACCAGCCTAAGCAAGAGCGAGACCCTGTCTCTACTAAAATAGAAAGAAAGAAATTGGTCAACTAAAAATATATAGAAAAAATTAGCCGGGCCTGGTGGTGCCTGCCTGTAGCCCCAGCTACTAGGGAGGCTGAGGCAGGAGGATCACCTAAGCCCAGGAGTTTGAGGTTGCTGTCAGCGAGGCTGATTCCGCGGCACTCCAGTAAGGGCAACAGAGTGAGACTCTGTCTCAGAAAAATAATAATAATAATAATAATAACAACAACAATAATGGAGAGCCAAAAATAAAGAATAGGTGTTTAATTATTAAATAGTAAAAAAGCACATGGATACAATAAAACAATTGCTAGTAATTCCATTTAGTCCTGATCAATATGGCATCAGAAACAATCTGGTGACCAGTGTCAGGACCATAGATTACAAACTTTAAAAAAAAAGATTAAACATTTTTAAATGTCCAATAGCATCTTTTATAATGGATAACTAAATTACTCAAATAACCACTTAAATAGTTACCTAACAAAAATTCTAAACTTAGCTAAAATAAAGGCCTCAAAAATAACTAATTTACAATAAGCAAACCAAACTATTATCAAAAAACCACAATTTTTAGGCATTACCTAGGATAGAATTCCTATATTATTTCACTATAGATAGAAGATGAAAAGTCACTCACTGAAATGGGTGACAGAATTGCAAGAATAGAGGTTACAGACCAATCTCTTCATTGGCTGTGAGTTTTGTCATTGGACATGCTGATTATGTCCCTCATCACTCATTTATGAAAACAGACACACTCACACAGTATTATATATAGATGTGTCAATAAATTTTGTATCTACTTACATATGTATATTCTGAACTGTACGTTATCAGTTTGCATACCATAAACAAATATATATTACTTTTCAAGAAGCATATTTTTATTAAAGAAAATTTTAGAAGAAATATCAATATATAAAATATAAATGAAACAAAACAAAAATACTAGGCTGTTCTGGCTAAGGCAGGATAGAATTAACAGAGAAATTTCTCTTTCTGCAATGACCATAAGACATCTATTAAGAGTATTCCAGGGCATGGGCTGAAACTATTGTTCCCAGTAAATACTGTTTATTTTACAAAGGTCAATCACAAGACTATTTTTTCAAAGACAAGACTACAGGCTCACATGAAAATTTTATAATAATGCAACTGAGTATAAAGTTAAAAAGTAACATTTCCTCTCCTTTAAAAATAATAACAAAATAAAACCACTATGCTATATAAAACCACATTATTTTTTTAACCTCATAATCTTAATTTGATACATGGAAAAAGTTATTAGGTCTCTTTAAAGTGCCTAATTTTAAAGACCTAATTTTTGTTCATATAAATCTTGTCCAAAATATATAAGGAGAATGGTTGGTAGCAGGTGGAGGTATTATTTTTCTATATCGTAAATGTATCTTCTACCTGACTGGCCAATTAAAGTACTCTGCCAAAGAATCTTAACTTTCTCACAGAATATTCAGATAGAGAAACATGCAAATATAACTGATCTGTTATAACATCTGAAGGTTAGCTTTTTTGGAGTGCTTTGTTTGTTTTAGACAAACCATCTCTTTGCTCCAAACATCTCCCCATTTATGGAAGGACTACTTTAAATCCATGCAATTGATATTAGCAAAATACAAATAACATGTTCTCTTCTGTAAAGATCATGATTAAATGTCTAAATTCAATAAATAGACTCTTTAATAATTTGAAATCCTATCAAATATTTTATAATGTTAAAAGTCTCAATCTTTCTTCTTTTCCAATACATCCTTGGGCTCTTGCACTGTAGGCACTAGAGATCCTCCACTGCTGGGCCCCTGTTGTTCTTTGCTCTCGTCTATCTGTTCTTGGCTTTCCATTTCACTTTTAGATACTTCATATCGTTCTTCTATATAACCACCATCTGTGTCAGCTGTGTAGATTCCATAGCACATGATACTGATGACACCCAGTGGCAGGCCAAAGAGAAAGCAGCCCATAAGTGGTGAGCTCTTGAAAATAGACTGTGGAAAGATAATTAACACTCAGTTCCCTTCAGATTTACATAACATGAATTTAAAACCACTACAGATTCCCTTCACTTGTAGCTATTCAACTTGCTTCAAGTTCAAATGAAAGAGATTCCGTACTTAAGCAGTAACTATTATGTTAAAGACAACATAAAAGATACACATTCTATACACATGCACACAGGTGAGTCTGTGTAGAACCAGCTACAGGAAGCAGAAAAGGCACCAAATATCCTACAACCATTCCTGAAGACACTTACTTTTCTCACATTAACCACAAAGGTCTCTTTGAGATGGTTACTATGTGTCCAATGGTCTTAGAATTGTTTCCTGAACTACAGAAATCTGCTCATGAAGAAGGTTGGGTTATTTTTATGAAGAAAGTGTGTGTGTGTGTGTGTGTGTGTGTGTGTATATTCATTCTCTTCACATGACATTTTAAACATTTTTCACTCATCTGGTTAGTAGTAAAGCCTCATTAACTTACTAATTACCCTTAATCTACATAGTATCTCCTCAGCTCCCAGAAAATTAAAAGTAATTTTACTGAACAGGTTTTTCTAGAGGCTATGTTTACAACTCTGGAGAACAATGTAGACAACTTCAGAGGAGAGAAAGATCATTTTGGATTGAGATAATGGAAGAAGGCATCAGAGAATAAAGGTGAGTTTTGAGGGGGAAATATAAGGATGAGTAAAGAATGAAGCAGGACAAGGTACAGTGTGAACACTAGCAATTAGGTCCAAGAAAGCTTATATAATATTCAAAAACCAATAAGGAAAATATTTTGGATAGATAGAGTAGGAAAATGATCAAAATCAATTATTTCAGTAATATTAATTGTGCAACAGTATATAGAATGTACTGGATAACAGGCAAGAGGAAGTGTGGAAAGCAGGTGAAAGTGAGAGTAGCAGCTAAACATACTGTGATAAGAGCCCAATCTATGCTGGGGGCAGGAGGAAAATAAAGAAATATTACTGATAAGCTGAAGGACATCATGCATGGAATGAGACAAAGATTCTCAGAATTTACTTCTAATGAAGACAGTTACATTTTCATGATTGCTTTTGCCACAATGAATGAAAATGCCCATGGAGTAGCTCAAGACAGACAATAGGAACTGAGTTTAGGGCCCCCCAAAATTTAGGAATGCTTTTACTGTTCGGGTAACTGAGAGTTAAAGCTGGGAGAATAAGAATGATTTCTCAGAGTTCCAAGAAAGAAGGTTCAGATCCAACCACTGAAAAGAGGAACCAACCACAGAAAAAGGAAAGAGGCACTGAAAAACACTGACCAACTGGAGTGATGGGTCATGCGTGGGAGGAACAGCGATTACCACAGCAACATGAGAATGGAGAATACCAAGAAATGGATGCTTTGAAGACATCCAGAGGAAATATCGTAAAAGATCTACTAACTAGTAGGCAACTATGAGACTGGGCATTTTTTAGAGTAAAAAGAAGAGCAAATTAGAATGGCAGAGATAATCAGGTGAGAGGTGATAGTGAAGGAAATCAAGGAAACATTTAGAAACTGTAATTATAAAAATAAATAAATAAAAGTATAATCAGGGACAGACGTGTCAATTCAAGTCATCCATTCACCACTGACAATATTCTACCCATGCCTAACATCTGCAGATACACACGGGGACAAACAAATTAAAAAAAAAAAAACAAAAAAAACACTGTTGGAAAGGATTTGACCTATCACATTTTAATTCTACATTTAATGCCTGCTTTTTAAAGAAAGAATGAAAGAAAGAACAAAAAAAAGGGAGAGAAGGAAGGCAGGAAGAAGGAAGGAAAAACATCTATAAATGATTCCAGTTATTCATCAACTTATGGGTAGCATAGAATTAACAGAGATGTTTAAAACTTTAAGATCAATTATTATGACTACTGCAAAAATAAAAACAGGAATGACTTCCCAAGATACATCATTTTCTTCAACAGAAATGATTAATTCACAGAAACAAGATGACACTTAGTAGAACTAAAAATTTCATATTATCTACACTTTCATGAAATTAAATAAGAACTTTACATAGTAGTTTCAGGAAATAAAATCTTTAAGTCATTCTATTAAGTGATTCTGAATTTCAGTTAATTCACCAATCATAAAAAATGAATAATTAGAGAAACTTAATTTCCATCTGATGGAAATATTTTCTTAATGTAAATACTGACTAGTTCATACTCTGCAAATTAAAAAGGCGTATTTTGACCTAATCCTTGAAATTCAGATTTTTACAACAGTTAGACATAAAGACCCTGTACACTCTTAATTACCAATGGCACAAAACAAACTGTCACAACTTACCACAATAGTAGATTTGGCATCAAATACTATTCTTTTCAATCTCTGCAAAATGCTATCACCTCCTTGGGCCTTCAGTTTAACAGGAAAAAAATTTAAATTATTATTTACATGCTTTACTATGTTGTATAATCATACAATTGCAGTCAAAGGGTTGACTTCAAAATACTAAGTAATTCAACTGTAGGCTGTATAATAAAACATTTACTGATGTTTTCCTGTCCTGTATTCCTTTTGCCTTCTTGTGTTAACCCACCCTGATTCTGCTCTGAAGAAGCCATCCTCCTGGATTCATAATCCATGCAGCTTGGCTGAAGGTGACCTACCCCGAGTCTAGGCCTGCCTCATTTTTTAATTTAGCTGAGATTGCCAAACTAGAGCTGCAGCAGGATATCTTTGTTATTGTGTAGGGAGAATCTCCGAGAATGAAGCTCAATAAGAAAGTGCTGATAAGCAGAGAGGGAAAAATTCCTGATGAAAATCAATCAAATCTCTGAATTCATTCATCCCTGAAATCTGGCTCATTCCTTGAACTTCTAAGCTCTATAAGCCAGTAAAATCTCTTTGTTGTTAAATAGCTTGAGTTGGGTTTCACTAACTTACAAACAGAAGGGTTCTCACTCGTACAAGTTTCATTTCAACAAAATTATATTTTCACAAACATAAAATTCCTACTACTATGTGATGACTAAGAGTGGTTCTCCTCCACCTTACCCCAGGACCCCTCTGAAATGAAAGTGAACAACATACTTCTACTGTGCCATCCAAAATGTTATTAATGAATTGGACCATGTCTTCGGTATTCTTAATCTGTCTATCTAGCAAAAAGTATTGTTGATTTGAAGTATTCAGAACAACTACAGTTGGTATTGTCAATTCACTGAAAAATAAAAACAAATCAAAATATGCATTAAACATAGCAATAAGTTTATTCTGATATTTATTTATATCACAGTAGCTACAATGACAGGAGGAGCTATATTAATAGGTTTGCCACCCTTTGCCTATATAAGGAAAATTTCAAATTATCCATCTATTTTAAAACTAGTTAAGATTACATGAAAAACATTTTTTTTTTTTTTTTGAGACAGAGTCTCACTTTCTTGCCGAGGCTAGAGTGAGTGCCGTGGCGTCAGCCTAGCTCACAGCAACCTCAAACTCCTGGGCTCAAGCGATCCTCCTGCCTCAGCCTCCCGAGTAGCTGGGACTACAGGCACGCGCCACCATGCCCGGCTGATTTTTTTTTATATTATATATATTAGTTGGCCAATTAATTTCTTTCTATTTTTATGGTAGAGACGGGGTCTCGCTCAGGCTGGTTTTGAACTCCTGACCTTGAGCAATCCGCCCGCCTCGGCCTCCCAGAGTGCTAGGATTACAGGCGTGAGCCACCACGCCCGGCCGAAAAACATTTTAATACATAATAACTGAGTAATCACAATTAAACTTAAAGACAAAAATTATGATGGGTGAGGCCATCAATTTCTGGACAATATTATTCCTTGCCACAAATTTATTTTTAATACCCTTACTTTTAATCATATACAATCCCACTAGTTAAATGGTACTCAGGCAATGAGACAGGTAAGGGCATGGTCTCTGAAGTCATACTGCTTATATTCAAATCTAGAGCTTTCTCTTAAAGTTGCAAGTTTTTAGGCAAGTAATTTAGCTTTGTATGCATAATGCTTTTCACTTATAAATGGGGAGGGCAATGGCACCTCTCTCACTACAAAACTTACATTAGAAAATTCATGTTAAATATTCAGCACTATACCTTATACACAATACACGTTCAATTAAAACTACTGCAAATTCTCTCAACTCCCACTATCACACTATATATTTCACCACATCCTCAGAAAGTACTTTAGTGATATATTAGACATCAATTCTGTTCATAGATAGGATAACTATATAATACTACCAATGTGAGTCATTTAATTGTCTTAATATCTACGATTATTTGTATGTCTATGTCTATATGAGCATATTATATAAAAGTATAAAACTTCACAGTAGAAATAATTTACATCACTCTATTATCACCACATTAAGTAACTGAGGCCAGTAGGTGGCCTTCTTGTTCATAATTCTTTTTCCCTTACAATACCACACAATTTCCATGCCACCTGACCGCTGACGTTGGGCCCAGTCATTGTTATTTGGTCAATGGGAAGGTGAGAGATGTGATTTCAGCAGAGGCTTGAAGTGTGCTTGATGGCTGGGCTGGCCTGCCTGGGTTTCTGCAATTGCCATAAGAACGTCCCCCAAGAAAATGTCCTACCAGAGTCAAGGACATAAAAAACACAGGGAGTAGACCTAAACCCAAATGGAAGCCATATCTAGTTGTGCCCAGCCAAGGTCAACCAACCCCAGACAAGTAAAGAAGAATACATGATTACTATTTTAAGCCACTGGGTATTAGGGCAGTTTATTGCCAAGTATTAGGCAATAAAATAACTGAGTACTTAAAAAAAACCTTAGCTCCACTCTTGTTCATAAAAGTAAGAGGCAGCTTTTTAATTTGTAGCTGTTATTATTATAATGCATGAACAGCAAAAAATTCTATTTTTACATTAATAAAATGGATTGGAACCTGTTCTTCCTACAAAATACATTTCATGAAAAAGCTAAATACACAATTGAACTAGGAAGCAAATGTCTGTCTTAAAATAATTCAATTTGAATAACAGTGGAAAATAAGATATCCTATTCCCTCTTAATTATACTCACAAAAAACCAATACAATATAACAGCTCAAAGGTCTGATAGTTCCCCATCTTGACAAAAAGTAAAAGCAGAGTCAATGCTATAATAATTTTATGTTATATAATATCATGCATTTGCCTTAACTTAAAAACATTTTAGGAATCAATTTCTATTCCACTAATTTGTCTATAAGTATTAATGTTATAGTTAAGAGATTTGAAGTAAGAGAGAGATGAATTTGAGGACTAGACTTCTTTATTTGTTGGGCATCCTCTGGCATATTATTTAATAAACTTCCTTGAGTTTCTTATAAAAAATTTTAATTTTCTCAGCAATATAAAAAGGAAATAATAGTACTTATGCCTGTCTGAGTTACCACAAAAATTAAAAAATACACATGACCACTTAGTCCAATATTGGCACAGGGTAAGTACTCAATAAAGACTTTCACATAACCAACATTATATGCCTTCCCTCTTCTCTCAAATAAATAAAATTAAATTTAAAAAAATAAATAAGAGCAGAGTATTAATCAAAGAACAACACAAAACCACCCAAAAGAAAGGGTGGGTGGCAGAGGGGGAAGATTATTGTTGATGTCCTAAGTGCTTTAATTTCAAATCACCTTTCACACCTTCCTCACATGCTTTAAAATAGTTATACACAGTGATATATAATAAACTCTTACTTTAAAAAGAGTTCTAAGAAAACAATTATCTTCTGTTCCCTAAGAGATGTAAAAATCAGTATTATTTCTCATGTGAAATCATTCACATGGCTGCAACACTATAATAGCATTTTTAGCATGTCAAGTCATTTTCTTTTAATAAAATAATCTTTAAAATGCCTGTCCTTTGGAGGGAAAAAAAGTCCAACACAAAATATGTTAAATACATGTATTAGTTTTCTATTGCTGCCCTAACAAACACAATGTAGCTGCTTAGGACAGCACACATTTACTATCTCACAGTTTTGTGGGCCAGAAGTCCAGCAAGCTTGGCTGGGTCCTTTGTTCACAAGGTGAAAATCAATCAAGGTCTCAGTGGGGCTGTGTTCCTTACTGACGACTTTGAGAGATAATCCATTTCCAGACTCACTCTGTTTTGGCAGAACTTAGGTCCATGCAACTGTAGGATTAAGGTCCTTGTTTCCTTGCTGGCTATCAACCAGCTTATCAACCACCCACATTCCCTGGTTCTTGGTCTCCTTCATATTCATAGCCAACAACAATGAGAGGTCTTTCTTACACTTGGAATCTCCCTTACAGACCTTTCTGTCCTATATTTTCTCAGCTTTTATTGGAGAAAATTCTCTACTTTTAAAGCCTCATATGTGATCTGTGATCGAACCCTCACAGATAATCCAGGATATTCTCCTATTTTAAGGTCCATAAATTTAATTGTTTCTGCAAAGTCCCTTTTGCTCTGTAATGCAACACATGCAAAAATTCTAGGAACTGGGACATAGATTACTTTGGGGAACCATTCTGCCTCTACTGAACTACTCACACAAAGATGATTAGCATTGCACAGCCTTTTAAGTGGATACTTGCAACACTGAGCTCAGGGTAACAAGAACATGAGATGGCAACAAGATTATTACATTAGTAAAAAAATTAATTTTATACATTCATGATTTAATACTGCATCTTTATGTTTGTTTGCATTGCTCTCAACTGCAAATGGTACCATGTATGGTCTATAAGTGTTTGTGTAAATTTTGATAAATTTTAACTTTTTATAATAGATTTGTGTATTTTTATGGTAGTAAATAATAAAATAGGCTAGTGTCTACATATATTTTATGCATTCATGACATAGCTAACACATTTTTCAATAATTCTAGGCTATGCAGTTTACCTGTAAGTTTTCAAATTGCTGCAAGTCTCAAAAAAATTCCAAAAAGTGTGTATTATGCAGAAACTACAAAATTTACAAGATTTTAAATAATTTCCTCTTTTTCCAATACTTTTTCCAATACTCTTTTTATAATACTATATAACATTGTTATATAACATTGAATTGGGAGATAAGTGTTTTGTTCTTTTTTAGGATAGAGCAATATTAAAATTCAGTAAATTTCAAATACACAATTTAAAAACTCAAGTATAATATTTAATGGAATATCTGTATCAGAATATACCATAAGCTTTTTTCAGCTATTTAACCCTTCTGCATGTTTCTCAGCAACAGAAATAAAAAAAATTGATAGATTTGATAACAAAATTATTCATTACTTTACTTACTCCATCAGCAAGGTATTTATATAGTCATTTCCATCCATATGGCCAAACTGAAAATCTCTAACCAACAATAACCAAAAAACAAACAAAAATAAGAAAGAGCATAATATTAAATACAAAATAAAAAAGTAAACAATATAACAAATTGAACTTTAGGGCTTTTTAAGCATATAAACACTGTAAACATTTGACATGTAAATTGTAAACCATAAATATAGAAAAGAATGTAACTTGTACTGGCTTTTGAGATAAAAATACATGAGTAAAATTAAGCAAATTCAAATACTTTTCTATTTCATGTATGCACGTTTAAAATGCAGAAAAATATAGGCATTTTTAGCTGAAGTATGTTTAGAAAAATTATCCATTTCCTTAAAAAAGGACTAACCAAAAGATGCTACAGACTATTTAACAGGAAAACTATATATTGACCCATCATTAAAAAATTCAAAATAAGAAGGAAATAATCAAATATTACAAATTTATATTGGCTGTCTCTTATGGCAGTTTAGCACATAGCAAAAATATATTTATTGCTGATGCCATTTTTATATTAAGTTATTCTTTCAATTCCTATTATAATCATTATCTATCTCTGATTTCTGATTGCTCGTTTAACTACCTCAAATTTGTGAGTATATTTGCATATTTTCTCTTCATAAAATTTACCTCAAATTCTCTCAAGATGCAGGTATAATACAAATTTTAAATAAAAGTTTATTTTTTTTTAACTTGTAGGATATCCCATAAAAAATTTCAAGATTCAAACAATTCATGCTAAAATTCAATATGCTATATTACAGTACTCCCCACTTGGCCACTGATTTTTAGTTAGCCATGGTTAACCATGAAATTCTAGAAATAAATATTCACATAACATTTATTATAGTACATTTTTTTTTCTCTAGTAACATAACCAAGGATATAGTACATTTTTATAATTGTTCTATTTTATTGGTTATTGTTGTTAATCTCTTACTATACCTAATTTATAAATTAAACATTATCAGAGGTATGTATGCATAGGAATAAACACAGAGAGAGTTCGGTTCTATCTGTGGTTTCAGGTATCCAGTGGGTGTCTTGGAATGTATCCCCTGTGGATAAGGGGAAACTACTATAATTTACTTCAGTTCTTTAATTCACCTTGGAAAGTAAGAAATACTACTACTTTTGCTTTTACTATATTACAAAACATAAATAAAGATGAAGGAATCTTCTAGAATACAAGCACCTACCTGTGGAAATGGTCTCTATAATCTCTAGCAACTTCCTGAATAATTGACTTTAATCTGTAGAAATAAACACATGAGTATTTCATCTCTTCACTTGAAAACTATAATTATTCAATTATATGGTGCCTTATCTAAGTGCTACAGGAAAAGTAAGATAACAATACCAAATCTATCTAAAGCCACGAACTGGATGACGTTTGAGGCTTAAAACTATTTCAAGGCACTATACCTGGTATGTTCAACTGATGTATTTTTCTCATCAATAACAGCAATAGCCACAAGCTTTCCTGAAATTAAGAATAATATATCTAAATTCAATAATCTTCATGTACTTTTCAATAATCACTTTAGTTGTGAACAGGGAATCAGTAAAATGTTTCCAGAATTAATTCCAATTATCCTACACATGTTACACTGAATTATACCCACATATTATGGTAAAATATGTTTGTAGAGTGAATTAGTCAACTGCAGATGATAAATTCCCTTCCATTTCCTACCCCCAAAATGTAAATAATAGTAAACATATAGCAATTTATTTAATATATACTCAAGTTGTAATTTAATAACAATTTATATGCTCAAATTATATTTTTTTCACACATCCCACAAACTGACGAAGATAACTATTTTATCCATGAGAAACAGTCGACAAAAGAAGTTTACTAAGAATTACCTTAGCTCTAAAACAACAGTATATAACAGTAATAAAATGACTTTTACATCCCATTCCCTTCATTATCACACATCACTATTTGCCAGGATTTAATTGACTTGCATTTACTTAACCCTAAATAGAACATCAGTCATATGCATCTGATATCCATTAAGAAGACAGCATGATGTCATAACCAGACCAGTGGGGTTCGAGTAAGAAAACCAGACAATGCAATCTAGCAATCTATTATGTTCTAGGCCAGGGGTGAAGAACCTGCAGCCTTAAGGCCACATGCAGCCTTCCAGGTCCTTAAGTGTGGCCTTTTGACTGAATCCAAATTTTACATAAAAGAAATCCATTTATTTTTATTAATATATTTTGATTTTTTTATATTTTAATTTTTGAAATTAATGTATTTAAAACACCAAAGAATAAAATAAGTTTCAACAAAACAACCCTCCCAGATTGACCAATTAGAACATCGGTTAGTCATAAGGGCTAAATTGATGGCTGCTACGCTCATAATTTAGTTCTAACTTCCTCTGCCTGACTGATGCCACTACGGCATGAGGCATGGTTGATTAGAGTTTATGGGTGGTCAAGTATGCCAGTCTGTTACTAGCTTTTGACAACAGTAAACTGTGTTTCTGTTTGAAGTGGAATTTGTGAATGGTTACACAGCTCGAGAGTATTTTTTAATTCTATCTGCTTAATAGCCCATCATGTCAAAGAAGACCAAGAGAATGCTGAAGAAAAAGCACAGATTTTTTTTAACGAGGACTGGGAATTGCAATAGTATCTTGTTTCTGCTAAAGATAAGATGATTTGCTTGCTTTGTGATACTGCAATATTAACATTAAAGAAATTCAATGCTCATCAGCTTTATAACATTCATAAGGACCACAAACAGAAATTAAAACATGAAAAGCAAAGCAAAGAAAACTCTTTCCAAGCAGCAATAAGACCTAGAAATAATGCCACAGAAGTGATAATAAAGTAGCTTATATGAGGTCTCTCTGGAAAGTATCCAGCCATTATTAATATAATGAGAACATATTACATGGCTGGATATTTTCCAGACAGACCTCATATACTTGGGGAAAAAAGGGAAGCATGCAGTGATGTAGAAATTGTGAAAAAAGGCATTGTCAAAGCTGTAGGATGCTTAGACCCCAATAACGTTTCAAAGTACAAACAACTGCCTCTTTCAAGGAGAAAAATAACTGATTGGCAACATGAATTAACCTTCAACTTAACAGAATGCCTTCATGCAATACTTCAAAAGGAAAATATATATTATTCAATTACTTTGGATGGATCAACTGTTACTATTGCTCAACACAGGTTTTATACTTCCTTGGGGTTGTAAAAGACAATTTTCCCCCTGACACCTCCAGTTCTACTAGTAAAATATCTCTTGAGCTATAATCTTTGGCCCACATACAAAAGTATACTCTTTGGTAATATCAGTCCATATTCTCATAAGAGAACTGGCATTCAGGTCTAACAAAAAAATTAAGTTATAAAATAGTGCTTAAATTCATTTCTTATAGAATAATATTTAAGTGATCAACCAATGAAAAATTCTGTAGTGACAGAAAGTTGTATGTATCTTGTTACCTGTGTCTCCAAGTTCATACAGGAGGAAGCCATCCATAGTGAGATAACTCTGAAACCTCTCCCTATTGATCCATGATGACAGATCACCATCTTCATACTCTTAAAAACAAAACATTGATAAATTATAGTATAAATATAAGTTTAAGACAGTTATAATGTTTTAATCTGGTAATATGTATAAAATGCCTGACAGAGAATCATAATCTTAGATCAATAAATTTTATCTTTAGGAATTTATTTTAAGCAATCAGATGTACAAATGGATTAATGAACAAAGCAATTCTTCAATATAGCATAATTAAAAATAGTAAAAAATAAATAAAAATAAAAGAAATAATCAAAATGTCCTAAATAGGAAATAATTTAAATAAATTCTAATAATGTTAAGAAAGACCATTTACAAATTAAAGAAAAAACTTATAATAAACAAATTGTAAAACACATTACAAAACAATATTACAATAAGACTGTAACTCTGTAAAAAATACAAAGGAAAGATAAAATGATAGAGTAATAAAATGAAGGCATATAGTCCTAAATGGTTATCCTAGATTGATGATTATACTTGGATCCTGACACTGTGGGTAAATTTTATTACAATTTCTTTGCTCTTCTCTATTTATGATATTCTTCCTTAGTTTACAACTCTTTCCCATATGTATAACACAAATACATATAAAACCATAATACATTAGCTTTCTTCCAATATCAGATACTTCCTCTGCTAAGCAGATAGAAAATACAGTATCTAAGAAAAATTGTATGTCCTGATTAGAAATATAATTCTGAAGTAGTTCTGAAAAATCATTACAATTGCATGAAAAAGAAGCTGATGTAAAGCAAAATGTCTTTAAAAGCCTACCAATATTGAAGACTGGGTTTTACTCATTTCTTGAAAGGTGTGCTTTTTCTGTCACTTGCATTGCTAAACAAAACATTTTCAAGTTATCAAACCTATAAGATAAGTGATATAATGCAAATCTGAAAGTAATTATGGATTTGGAATAGAAAAATAAACATAAAACTAGAAGTTGATTCCTGGGCCACAATCTCCACTCCATGTCAAAAGCAAATTTTCTAAAGATTGCACAAAGTAACCAACTTTAAACTCATTAGAAAATTAACTATCATCCTAAATTCCTACCTCAGTGCTTCTGAGCTTATTAACAACAATTAACTATTAGAATGACAATTCAAGTAAAGCCTTTGTTTTATCTGAAGGCTTTAGGCAGCTTCTAAATACCAACAACTGAATGTTAGAAAAATTTGGCTTTTACAATACCCATAGAAACTTAACATATTATTCCTGTCTTTCTTAAGCAAGGGAGACCACACCTGAAACATGGAAAGACAAGGAAAGGGTACTTTCTTACACAAGCTCAAGGAATACATTTAAATCTAAACAGATATGATCAATTTTTTTTTTTCCAAAAAAGAAACAAAGTGGCTCTCTAAATTGTTAAGAAACTCATAATAGAAAAAGAATAAAAGATTTGAAGGCTAGAAGTTTGATACCATTGACTTAAGTATTTTAACTTAGAAAAAAAAATCTCTTTAATCCTGTTTACCTGTAAAATAGCAAGAATACTGATCTTAAAGGACTGTTGTGATGATCAAATAAAATAATATACATTAAGTGCTTAAAATATGAAGAGTACTGTAAGAGCAGGTGATAGAATAAGTATAGATATGAACTATTTTCCCTTCCTAACTTCCTTCTTTTCCTTCTCATATTTTCATATGTAAGTTCCTCTTAAGTTCCTTTTTAAGCTCAATGTCTAATTCAGACATTCAATAAACATCCAAGGAATAAATGACTAAGAGAGCATATGAATTAAACATGCTATTTAGTTACACATCTGTCTCCTTATCTAACAGTCTCAGTTGCCTCTTTTGTTATCTTAGGATATTAATCTATCTGCCTTATTACCTCACAGATGACTCTGAAAATAAAATGAAAATGTCAAGTACATAGACAGTACCTTCCATATAATGACAGTATAAATGGTAGTTATTCTATGTCAAGAAATTAAATTCAGTTCTCACATTTAAATACAATAAAGATAAGAAATGTTTGGTTTTCACAACATAACTAAACAATTAAAATGCTCCTTTTACTAAAATAAAACAATCAAATGTTCCCTTTATTGGATAGTCTTCTATTTATCTGAATCATTTAAGCAATTCGAAGTCCACTGCTCAACTAGTCCTAGTTTCCTTTCTGTTATATATTAGATACAACAAGAAAAATAATCACACTCTAGAATATCTCTGCAATAAATGGAATGTTCTATATCTGAGCTCTCCAACATGGTAAGCACAAGCACATAAAGCCACCGAACATTGAAAATGTGGCTAGTAAAAATGAGAAACTGAATTTTTTATTTTATTAAATTGCAGTTTATAGTATTACTAATACTGCTGTTAGATGAGAGTTGGCATTCACTTTTGCTTTTGAGTGGCTGTGTGGTGTCTGACAAATGTCAGGTTTTATCGTTTCCCTTGAAATTTAAAATATCTCCTGGTGCCCCTGTGAGTGTGTTGCACTGCCCTTGAGTACCTCAGAACACAGTTTGGGAACCATGGGAGGAGGTATTTGATAATACCAAGAGATTACTGTTAATTAGATGTCATAACAGCATGTGTTTACTAAAAAAAAGTCTACATTTTTTTAAAAGAGTCTTAATACAGCACACAGTGATAAAATGCCACTGGGATTTGCTTTAACAAGAAAAGAGTTGAAGATGAAGCAAATGTGGTAAGATCTTGGTATTTATTTAACCTAGGTGATGGATATATAGGGTTTTATTTAAAATATTTAAAAAACAGACCAAGTATTTATATCAATAAAGAAATGATGAATCCCTTTAAGTAAGTGGTTACTTCTGAGAAGAAGGGAGAAATGCAGCTAGGGAGGAATACACAGGTGCTTCAACATTATTAAGCATGTTTTATTTATCTTTTTGTGTGTCTGAAATGTTAGATACTTTTAAAAAAATTAATTTTGAACATTTTAAAGTAATGCATAAACACTGCATAGAGTTTACTTTTCAAAAGGCAAATAATTTGACAAAATAATTTACTGTAGATAAAACTAAAAATGAAAGAACACTAGATGGAAAAACTGCATTGGAAGGGTAAAAAAACCCAACCAATCATTCAATTAATGAGGAATCGTAAGAAGTAGCAGCATTTACAAAATCTTTACATGTAAGTCCTACAATAGATATAAAAACTTTAAAATTAAAATGTTGTGAGTTAAAACTTTGGAACTTACCATCATAAACAAAGTACGTGCCATCTTTGAAAACAAGTACAGCAGGCATCTCTTTTAGTTTCACATACTGCAAAAAATTGTAAGTTTAAATGACTTATTAAAAGATTGTAATTGGTAGCTATAAGTTTGAAAGTATTCAAAGATATCAAAACACACACACCCTACTAACAAAAAAACTATTACAGTTAAAAAGACAACAGTCAGTCCCAAACTCATCTAAGGATCAGATCTGTATCTCTTTATATATCCCTAGCACAGTGCTCTGTTTGCTATGGTAAAAAACAAGGATTATTCTTAGACCTGATAACAAGACCTAAAGATACCATCATAAGAAGAATGGGAGGTACTAGGAGTAACAAAACAGCAGGGCTAAGGTATCAAACAGCCTATGTAGGTTTGAGTCCATCTCTACTGCTCACCAGCTGTGTGATAATGAGCCAAACACTACTTCCTCATCTGTGAAATAAGGACACTTAGATCGCCTACCTCACAGGGTAGTTATGAGAGTTATAGTAGATAACATAAGTGAAAGTATTGCTTAAGCTGTCAACTGCATTATAAACAACTTTGATGGTAATTAATAAGGGATTTATTCAGAAAGTATCTGCTGCTTATACCTGTGTTGTACTTATTCTGTAAAAATAACGTTATAGTTAAAAATCAGTATCAGATCAGAAGACAAATAATTTGGGTAAGCCACAAAGAATTATTACATGAAAATGGTAATACTAAAAATAATGACAAATATATTAACTAAATGAGTAGATGAATAAGGAGGCAAAATAAAAATAAAGACAGCTGTCTTGAAAAGATTAAAAAGGTAGGGTGGCACATCTAAGGACAGAGAAGATAATAAAGAATGATCTGGTTATATTACTACTGAAATATGATAAAGCACCATAAACCAACTCACGCTGGATAACAGACTTAAACCTAAGATATGAAACTATTAGAACTCTAGAGGAAAAAGTTGGAAACACTCTCCTAGAATCGCCTGGGAAAGAGTTATGAAGAAGTCCCCAAAGCAATCACAGCAGCATCAAATAAATACAAGGACGATGATCAAACTACAAAAGCTTTTGCAAGCAAAGAAAATAGTCTGGAAAGTAAACAGACACCTCAGATGGGAGAAAATTTTTGCATCTATGCATCGATAAGGACGATAACTAGAATATTCTTAGACTCCATGAAAATTAGGAGAAAAAATCAAACACCATTTAAAAGTGGGCAAAGGAGCTTGAACAGAAATTTTTCTAAAGATAAGACAGGAAGAGATGCCAACGAAACATAGAAGAAATGCCTCAACATCCTAACATTTGTTCAGGGAAATGCAAATCAAACCACAATGAGTATCACTAAACCCCAAGGAAAGGCCTTTATCACAAAATCTCCAAAACAAATGCTGCTAGGTGCGGGAGAGAGGAGCACCGCACTTGCTGGTGGGATGCAAACTAGTTTCACCTCTGTGAAAGCAATAGGAGAACCTTAAGCGATACAACTGAATCTACAATTTGATCCAGCATCCTGCCTGGCATTTACCAATGATCATGCACTTCAAAAAAGACACCGGCACTCGATGTTATAGCAGCAAATTCATATTGCAAGGCTGGAAACAGCCAAGGGCATCAGATCAAGAAATAATAAATTTATATACATGGATACTATCCAGTCTAAGAACAATGGTGGGTATAGGCATTCTTATATTTCTGTTAGCGGAACCCATACTATTAAGTGAAGTATCCCAAGAATGAACAACAAGCACCAGATATATTCTCCAGCAAACTGGTATTAACTGAGTAGCATCTAAGTGGACACATAGGTGCTACAGTAATAGGGTATTGGGGAGATGGGAGGGGGGCGGGTATATACATACATAATGAGTGAGATGTGCACCATCTGGGGGATGGTCATGATGGAGACTCAGACTTTTGGGGGGAGGGGGGGAAAGGGCATTTATTGAAACCTTAAAAACTGTACCCCCATAATATGCCAAAATAAAAAAAAATTAAAAAAAAAATAAATAACTATTTTAAAGGCAGAGGTAGAGCTCTTATGTAAGGCTCTATAATCAAGCATGCTTCTATTCACCTTATCTTGGTAACTCATCCACAAAGATGCTTGAGAATTTTTCAACATTCAACATCTCTCTTTCAAATATATCCCTCATGGTCATTATTATAACACAAATGAGATAGTCTGAAACTTTGTAGCCATCTAGTTCCACATATTCTGAATCTCTTCTCCTCTCCCTTGTGTTTCTTTAAACTATTTTACATTATACAGTTATTTGTTCACATGTCAATTTTCTCCATTTATCTCTAAGTATTCTGAAGTCAGAAACTGTCTAAATCCATCCTTGTATCACCTTATTACACCTACAGGAGTTTCCATAAATACTAGCTGTAAAGCTAATGAAGCTCTGAAGGAAAACATTAATATTTAAGATATGAGAAGACCATAAAATCATGGGCTTTATCCTTGAGAATTTTCTATAGGAGTAAAACTCTCCATATTATTCTAAAATAATGATATCCCCTAGCAGACTTTTGCACCTGCATACTCACAGCTAAAAAAAAAAAAAAAAGACAGAAATGACAAATATTGATATTTTCAGAAATAAAGAATGCTTAAAGAAACTAGCTGAGAAGGCTAATAAAAATAATAATACATAATAACCTACCATCTTATGTAGCAACTGTTGTTTGTGCTCATTTCATTAAAAAATTGCATTCCATGCCTAAGAAGTTTATATAGATTTCACTTAATTCTAGACCCTTATATCCAGCTGCTTATTTGATGCTTGTATTTGGATATCTAATATGAAACAAAACTGAATCAAAGTAAAATGAACAATTCAAAGTTCTTAATCACTTCCCCATTTCCCAACCTGTTCCTCTTCCAATATTCCCTTAGTTCATAAATATAACACCAACATCTTCCTGGCTATTCAAATCAAAAACCTAGGAGTCATCCTTAGGTCATCCCTTTTCCTCACACAAGCAAGCTATGACAATTCTATCTCCTGAACATCACAATCCTTTCAATTCTCCCCAATGTTTTTTACTAACCATCAAGCCCAAATTTCCTAGATTACTGCAAAAGTTCCACAGAGCTCCCTGGAACTACTCTCATATCTATCCAATTCATCCTGTACTTACCACAGACTAATACCCTTAACATGAACATCAGACCATACTCTTTACCAGCTTTAACCTCAACACATACATTGATTGTCATGATTTACATGACTACACTGACCTCTGATCACTTCCTATCTCACTACACTATAGTCACATTGGCCTGCTGTTCTGTTCCTACATTATCCATGATTTGGGCATTTGTATTATCTGTTCCCTGTTTCTGGTATACTTGGTCTATAGAACTTTACACAGCTCCTTCACAGAAGTTCCAGTTTAAATATTTTCTTCTCAGACATTTCTTGATCAATCAATTAATCAGAGCATCCATCCCACCTTTATATGCTCCAACTATCACACTCTGCCTCTTTTTTTTTTCATATCACTTATATTCTGTTCATAGATTTGTTTACTGAGGACCGTAAGATACCTCAGTCTGAGCATCTAGCAAAGGATCTCATCTGCAACACACACACACACACACACACAAATTAATCCACCACTGTAAACCAATTTAATGTAACACTTGTCACTATTGATATTATTTTAAAGAGAAAAAAAAGCACTAATGTAATAATCATAATCCCCTAAATGCTATGAATCTAGTACTTGCTATTAGTAACAAGCAACCTAATACCAGTAACAGATTAACAGGTTTACTCTTTCCACACAAATCACAGTAAATAATTTGATAGTAAAATCAAATAATTCAAAAAATGAAATCTTGTCATTAAAATCTAATTTTAAATATTACCTCAGGAACTACATCTTCTGAGGCAGAAAAAAAGTATGTATATACGATCAATTCTGAAGCAGCATCTATGTATTTCTCCTGTGAAGATACAAACAGAAAAAATGCCATTTTAAAATATTAATTAAAGACCAAAATATCCATTCATCATTAAATAATTAAAGTCACCTTATGTGGTAAATATATCTTCACAATTTACTATCTTATGGTATTTTAGGTGAAAATATGGAATATAATAAGCAAATAAACTCTTTATAAGCCAAAAGATAATTATAACTAGGTGCCTGTATCTTCCTCCAAATACAGTTCATTAAATATAACACAAGTTCAATCCATATCTATTAATTTAATCTTAAATTAGATGAAAAATGTTAAGTAATAATGATAGTGATGGTTATAAGAGGTATACATATACACACACACAAAATAAGCTGAAGACAATGGTCTTTTGTCTTTAAAAAGTTTACACTCATACCAGTTTGGAGTCTCAGTGACTGAAAATTTTGAAAAAGCAATACAAAATTTAAATAACTGGGTTAATAAAAGGAGAAGAATTAAGGCAGGCAACATCTACCCACACAGTTCACTCACTTCTGTTTCATAAAGGCAAAGACTATATAGGGTATACAAGAATGTGTTTTTATTATAAAAAATACTTAGATTAAACTAAAATATTTCCAATAGGAGTGGAGTCAGCTTTGAGTTTCTGGTGAAGGTTTGGCTAGACAGAAAATTAGCATATAATACATTTGTTTTTGTGGATAAAAAATAATTTCATACTTTCAAAGGTGATTCTCCACCTATATAAACAAAAAATACACGATGTCTCTTCTGCACATGTTCAAACATTTGTTGACTTGGAAGTGGTCGAATTAGAGCCCTGTTTAAAAACAAACACAAAATAAACTTGCATTATGAACTAAAGATAGTACATAATTTACTCCTATGTATGCTATAGCTGATCATGTCTCAAGTTATAAAGTTTTAATAACATTTTAGCTGCATTTTAAGTGTATCTCAAAATCCACATAATTCTAATAAAATTGTAGCCCATGACTATTACTGTACTCACATATTAAAAATTAATATAGTACCTGTATTTTAATCTACCAGTTTCAAAATAAATTTTAAATACATCCCTTCAGAGAGTACCATCATTGCCCATATTTTGACAGGCAAAAAAGGGACAATCATTCATTTAGAGTCCTTGGCTAAAAACAAAACAACTCACGAGATAATTAAGATCATTCACAAAAACACACTGTGAAATACTATCCCAAGAGAATATGGTACTATATTAAGTAATTTATATCTTACTGTCAATTTAAATACTATATAGTTTTTAAGTACTCTATGAAGGTAAAAGCCTGAAAACTTTCAAAAATATATTTTCAGAAAAATTAAAATGGAAATGATAGTCATAATACATAAGAACCTCATAAAGAGAAACACAAAACTCAATAAAAAGTTTTATTATAGAAGCATTTTTCAAAGCCAAATAGACTGATACATGAATTACATCAAAGATTATAAAACATGTCACTTATAAAATGTCATTAAAAACTAAAAGAAGAAACAGTCTTCTCTAAAATATGGTATATATTATGGAATTTTCACTCTACGAAATTTGTAAAAAGAACAGAACATATTTAGCAAAGGCCAACATTTTCATAATGCACAATTCTTAGGATGTAATTGCATCACTCACTCTACACTAGCCTCTATTTTAATACTTAGTAATTAACATGTAAGTGATGCAACTCCAGAAGTGACTCTTGAAATTCCAATTGCAATACAGTCGTCTCTTATTACATCAGGAGAATCTCTTCTTAAGCTTAAAACAAAACTCATTAAAAAGTAGCACAACAGAAAGACTAATGGAAATCCTGAGGGAATAAAGTACCTCCTACTAGCACCCCCCTCATATAATATAAAGTTATCTCAAAATGTATTTATTCACAAAATAAGCATGCAATCAATAAGAAAATCTACCAAAAATTATATCAGTATTAGAAACTTTAATATATTATGATCATTCCTAATTCTTTATATTTTCTGAAATAATTTGAGACAGCAAGCACCGCACCACCCAACAAATCCATCCCACTTTAATTTACCTTAAAGTTGCATAAAGCTATCAATATATCCTGTTAAACTCGTAAGTGCCTATATTTTAAAGCTAATAGATTAATGTATCTTGATGAGTGTTCTCTTCAAGAAGTTAAACATAATAACATCAAATTATAAGCACTAATTTTCTTTATACCTAAGCAAGATATAGCTTTTAAAAAACATCACCACATTCAAATCAACAGGCAATACTTATAAAGGAATTTGATTTTTTATCAGTAAAACCTCAAAGATCTGTAAGTCAAATAGATCTGTAGGCTTTAATTATGTCACATTCTATGGATAAAATGCAATATTTCACAGCTGGCATAAAGCAGCACATGATAGATAAGTATTTCAGCTTCTAGTATCGGGCTAGGTAGGAATGTCCGACTCTCTCTATTCAGAACAATAATATTCTATGGCTTCTCTTAAAATTCAGAACCAGCCAGTCCAAAAGCAAAATTGTCATAAAACAAAAATTAAGATTCACAAAGTTGCTATAAGTAATCAAAATTTTGAAAATATATTAAAAATTCATGGGGGAAATTATTTTATACATAAAATGAATTTAAATGTGAAGTATATATTATAATACAAATCATTATCTCTGTTTCTTTCTTCAAACATTTCTTTGGCTATGCAATGTAAACCTTACCTTTTCTCATAAATAAATTTTTATTTCGGTACTGCAAGTTCCTAAACTATGTGTGTTCAATATTGTTTATTAAAATATATTTAATTTTCAAATATTAATAGCATATAGCAAAGGCCTTTCCTAATAAGAATAATAAGAACTTACCCAGATACTCTGTGAGCAAACTCAATAATATCATCTTTAGTTCGTGGTCCTCTATAATTATATGCCAAGTCCCCTTTTAATCTTAAAAAGAAAAAGAGATACAAACTTGAATTATCTTAGCTGTTTTAATATTTACTGTTAATCACTCTATTGAACAAAAGTACCATATATAAAGTAGTAAATGTATAGGAGTTTTACAAATAGCATACTCAGAAAATACAATAAGCATTTGTTTTCAGAGGACCAACAATTCAAAAATGAAAGAAAATGTCTGTTTTCTATTAAAATTATATAAAAATATTTTACTCTGTAATTGATATTTTACTCTGTAATTGTGTCTACACTTTCTGAAAAGTAAATATTCTACACATTCATGGTTAAGAGCTTGGAAAATTAAAGCACTATAATTATCACCATTTTCCCTGTCAAAAGGTCAATAAAATGACAAGGAATTAAGGGTATTTTGGTAGTGGCAAAATAAATTTTAAGCAATCCAGTATCACAGACACTTCAAGATGCTCCAAAATGGAGTAAAACAATGATAAAACAACTCCACCAGAAAATTAGAGAATTCTCTAAAAGCCAAGCCAACCAATGAATTCATTTATGTGTCTAATTAAATGTAACTTTAAAAAAAGAAAAATTGGGAAGGATAACAGAATAGCTATAATTAAACAGGAAGAAAAGGATAACTTAACACAAAAAGTAAAAAAGGCACAGCAAACATTTTTAAAATGTTAGGGAAGAAGAAAGGTCAACACAAAACCTAAGATATAAATTTAAATTACTCAAAATTTGAAATTTAAGATTTTAAAAATTGAATAAAAATGCTTTATTATAAAAATAACTTCCAAAACAATTCCTTAGCTCCTCACATTATCAAAATAAGGTTAATGAAAATCATAAGAAAATTCAATAGTCATGATTAGAAAACAAATCCTTTACAATTAAGCCATTTCTTCCTATTTGTATACTCTATGAGACTTGATCAACACTAACAGATTAGAATTAACATCCATCAACTTTGATTCTTCTTTTATCTCTTATGAAATAAGTCTATTTTAATTACATAAAAGTTAAATCTGTTAAGAGACAGGATTTTCAATGATAAAGCAGAATATATATATGTGCTCCTCAGGGTCAAAGACCTTTCATAATTTATGACTGTATACCTTGTCCTGCACAGTGCATGTCAAACAGTAAGCACTCAAAAAATGTTTACTGAATTAGCCATAAACAACACAATTGCTTAAACATGAAGAAAATCATAAAAATGCAGTTTGCCTTCTTTGATCACATACTTCACCTAAACAGAATGGCTGAACCCAAATCTTCAATCCTCCAAGGAAGTTACTGGAAATTAATGTAATAAAATGTAAGTAGAGTGAACTAATAAAAATATACATATAAACATACAACACTCAACTTACAGCTTAATTGTTGGATAACCTCGAACTCCAAACTCTGAAGCAATGCCTTGATAAGAAAAAGAATAAATAATTCTAAATTTTTTTTAAATGAGAAACTAGGTAACAAATGAGCCTTTTACTTAAAAAATACAGATTTATTTACAGAAACCCATAGAGATATGTTTTTAAGTCTTAAGAAAAAATATAAACTCACACACACAAAAAGAAAAAAACATGACATTCTCATATGAAACATTAGTCATCCAACCTATAGTCTACACAAAATTCTATGACAAAATTAGAAATAAATGCCAAAAGAACAGTTAAAAATGTATCTATACTTATTTTAAAAGACATTATGATAAAAAATAAAGTACTTCTCATTTGACTGCATTTCTAGTACAAATACTTCTTCTAGGCCTCATTTATTCTTCTAAAAAAAAAAAAAAGCCCATTTCTTCCATCAGTGTTTTCTGAGACTTCAAGGAATTGCAGTGTATTCTAATTCTAAAAACATAAAATTGTATTTGCAAAATTTCTTAATTACTACAGTTAACAATCAAAAAGCAATTTACCTACTTGTTTTAGATGTTTCTGCTTTTGTGATAACCTAGAATAATTCCAATTATCTCAAAGATTATTCTGAAATCCTCACATTAATTGAAATGAAAAATAGTTGCTACAATGGCATCTTTTGAGGGGAAAGAAGAAACAGTAACAAAATCAAGCAAAGGTCAACAGGGAATGAGGCTTTTAAAGAGTATGGAAATCACACAGCGAATTAATAATATACTTCTTTGAAGACTAAAGGCAACTAGAACAGGAAAAAAGAAACAAAATATTCTCAGTTAATACACTTTACACAATACATTAAAAAAACTACAACAGTATATTGCAAAGTACACTGCATTACATGATCTCTTCCTTTGGAATTTTCTTTATTTCCAGGATATTTTCTTATCACAGTTGGGTACAAGGAAACTCCTATATCTGGATCCTTTTTAAGAATCACTTTGGTAATCTTCATTAATCTTTGGTTTTTATCATTTCTCACCAATTCACAAGAATAGTAACAAAGTGAATTTGTGACAAAATAATATCCCAAATCTCTCAGCCTTTCTTTGTCAACTCTAGTGCTTCTACCTTACACATACGGAGAGAGGTAAACTGAAAGAGTCCATACAGTGACTAATGACCAATACTTATTTTCATAAGAGGTGGCACAGACAGAAGAGATAACAAGAACTCAAGTTCCAAAGATACAGGTCCTTTCTCTGAAAAGTTTTGCCTTCTTCCAAGCAAAAACACAAAATGATGGGTAGATTATGTCAGTAAAGCCTGATTTTAATGCCCCCTTCCCAAATTAAGGAGGCAAGTAAATACAAGCCTTTAATACCTTCAACTAAAACTCATTAAAAACTGCCAAAACATAAAGACTAATATAATTGATTGGAGGAGGGAATTATAGCCCAACAGCAATCCCTTCACATAATTTAAATTATCTTAAAATTTACATATATACAAATCAAATAAAGAAAATGAAGTATGCAATGAAAAAATATACTGGTATTTCATAGCCTGATATTGTGTGTTAATAGGTTTCAGAAAGAAAAACCCCAGTTCCATACTCAGCCCTATTACTTAATTTGCTTGACCTCAGTCTTTATATTCAGAAAATGGAGGTATCACCCAACCTATAGCCTCTTGACTTCTTGACCATTAACCTTCATTTCTGATAGAATTTTAATTGACAGTGACTCCTAAAATTTTGGCCTTAGCTTCTCCTAAAGAGGAATGGCAGTCCAATACTAAAAACAACAACCACAAAAACATACAATGATTGAGTTAGGATTCCAACATCATTTATCATCTATGCAACTCTAGGTAAGTTTTTCAACTTCTCTAATCCTATTCCTCTCCTGAATACTACTCATCTTATAGAGTTATGGGTAGGGATTTTAAAATGAGAAAATCTGTGGAAAAGAATCTAAACAGGGTCTGGCATATAAGAGATTTTTAAATGCTAAATCCATTTCCATTTACTCTTGAGTATGATTTCACTGTTAAGTAATTATGTGCTGACACATCAATGTGCAGATATTAATAAAAACTAATTTGTAGAATATTTTATAACTACTTTAATATTCTCCAACTTACACCTCAATTTTGTTAGGAAGCAAAATGGTACTAATTCAGATAAAGAAACTAAAACTTAGGAAGACTTAGTAATTTGTTTGAGAGCAAGCATTGATCACATAAAGCTGAGACTAAAACTCAGTCTGACTCAGTTTTTATTCTTTATTTTTTCATATTAGAGAAGAATGATTTATATAGAAACCTGAGATCAATTACTTTACAAACTGAAGAACCTATTTGCAACATGAGTAACTTCCTTGAAGTTCTGCAATTTTAAATGTCTATAAAACGAGATTAAACATGAAGGAAGCCCACTACTTCATTTGTTTTCTTCTTGAAATGGTAACAGCTTGATGATAGAGATTAAGTATGGATGTGAAACATGGTGATCTTGGACTCCAGGCCTTAATTCCATTTCTAACTTTGGTGTGTGAAATTAAATTATTCAACGTCATTTCACCTATAGTTTACATTGTTACTTATCTATAAAATGGAGGTGGGGAAAGGAGTGAACAGTTATCTCTGAACTCCTTTTCAGCTCAAAAATACTATTTTTCTTAGAATTTACTGAGTGCCATTACATGTTTAACATGAAAAGGTCAGGGATGCTCCTAAATAGCCTACAATGCACAGGAACACTCCCCTCCACAAAATAAGACCAGATTACCTGGCCCAATAGTGCAAGGTTGCTAAACTCTGGAAAACAGTCACTAACCACCCCCAAAGGAAAAAAACAAAACAGAATTTTCCAGCCCAAAATTTCAGTAATACAAGGTTGAAAAACCCTGAAATACAGTCATTTACCACAGTTTATAACCTAGAGAGGTAAAATTAATTTGTAACTATAATCTGTGAACAAGAAGTCAGACAAAGAATGCTATTAGCCAAATGTCACTGAAAATTTATACATCAAATTGGTAAAATATGATCTTTACCATAAAATGATGTCAACATTTAGGTTGGAGGGTAAACAGAATTTCAATGGTTCCATAATAATAATCAGTATATACCATTACACGCAGCATTATGTCATATTTTAACTTCTGAATGAGAAACATTTTTAGTACGTATATCTGAAAGTGTAGGTACAAAAAGGCTAAAACATATATCTAAATTTACAATGGACATTATATAACTCTTTTCATGTTATTTGATTATGGTATTATTAGTTAAAAATCATGCATCAAAATCTTGGGTACAATTCCAAACACAAAATAGGATAAGTCATAGTTCAAATTTCTCCAGTGGAAAATCTCAATACATAGATGTTTGTTGGACTGAGTCTGATGACATTTGCTTCCAAGTACTGCAATTACATGATTGAGAAATAAGCTACCATCAAAGACTCCTAAAGATTTTATACACGTTATCACTTTGAATAATCTTACCCCATTCTGAACCAAAATCCTATAACTACTTATTCATCAAAAAAAAAAAAAAAAATTCTACTTTGTAGTTCTCCAATCTAAGTGTGCAGTGGGATCATTTGAAGTGTAGTTAAAAATGCAAACTCTCATGACCCAATCTCAATGATTTTCATTTGGTAGGACTGGTGCAGGACTTCAGAATCTAAATTACTAATGCCCATCCAGGTAATCCTAATGCAGATAGTCTACAGACTACATGCTGAGAAACACTGATATCTGACTGCTTAAAAAGCAACATATGAGGATGGAAGCGGTATCTATAAAAAAGCCAACCCTTCAGTATTCTATAGGTAGGCACAGAATAATACTGACAGATGGCTTGAAAGAAAATTTCAATTTCTTTACCTGTTTGATTCCAAGTTCTACTAAAATGTCTGTATTTGAGCTACATAAAGAATTTAAGAAAACTTTGAGAATTTATAAACCAAAAATCTATTTGTAATTTCTTACCGGTTGTTTTTGAATACTTATCAACTTTTTCTGCACAGCACATAAAATATCTCCTTGATGCTACATTTAAGTGGATAATCCATCACTGACAATAAACTTTAAATAACAATAGATAATTTACTTATGTTTATAGATTATTGTATGTCTCTCCAGACAAGAATGTAAGTTCTATGAGAGCAGAAATTTTTGCATGTTTTGCTCGGTGATGCATCCAACCTAACATATGATAAGTACATTAAACATCTGCTAAATGAATGAATGCTCACTCTACTCTTCCCTTTTTACAAAGGGATAATTTTTTTCAATAAACCACATTTGGATGATTCAAGCAGCCACAAGGATTTACAAGCAAGCATCACCATGCAGGTTGGGATATAAGTTGTGAGAGGGGGGTGGAGAGGTTTAGTATTTCATATCTGAAGAGTAAATTATACACAGTGCATAAAAGCACTTATGACAATGCCTAGCAGAAGGTGGTCCTCAGTAAATACCAGTTCACCTTTTACTTTTCCAAAGACTAGATGGTTTACTTGAGATACATGTATGTTTCCTACACTGCAACCTCTACAGAGGTTTCTTTCTCCTATTAATTCAACATAATACAATGCTAAGTGAACAAAAAATAAAATGTATAAACAGTCATGGCACAGAAGCAAACAGTAACCACTGAATAGTTTATGAAAAATTAAATTTAAAAAGCCCCATTATTAAGTACCTAAAAAGTTGCAAATTGGATATGACATCTAAAGACTTATAAGAATATAACCTTTTAGTCATAGCATTTAAACCATTTTCTTCTTTAGGCTATGTAGGAAAAAAAATCTTGCTTCCTTTTTCCATAATCACACTTAATAAATATTGAATAATAAACTAATGAACTAGATCTATAACAAAAAATTTGACTTAATGTAAATTGTTAGTTATCATCAAATCATCACAAGACCAGTTTACCACTAAAATTTTTACTGATTTATATAAATTACTTTTCTCATTATTTTTCTTTATATCCCCAAACTCCTTTACACATGACTCTATTACTTCACTGAATGATTCAAGTGATCAAAAGAATCTGCCATTTTTAAGACTTTATTGTACTTATTGGTGTATTTATCTTTCTTCTTCTATTAGGCTGTAAGCATTTCTAGGACAGACAGGATTTGTTTGGGTCTTTCTTTAATCTCTAGAGATTAGCACAGGGCTTGACAAACACAAGTTAGAAAATAAATACTGATTAAATGAATAAATAAGTAAATGTATCTATGAATGAATATGTGTATGCAGGTCTAATCAACATATTTATCTAGACACAAGAACTTACTTTCATGAGCAATAGCTTAAACAGTAACTTCCTAAACACTGTTAAAAGCTTATTTCAAGAAATATCAACTCAAGCTAATTAGCCTTTCTCTAACAATTGCCTGCCATTTGTCTCTTCTTCTGTCAAAATTTCAACAATTCATTGTGTGACTCAATTAATTCCAGCTCTAACATCTTACCTACACTTTAGATTCCCTATTCACAAACATCAGTAAAGCGAAAGACCACAAATTAAAAACAGCTAATAACTTGAAAACACAAACAAAATTAAGCTGATTCTTTTCCACATAACCAATGGTTATATTCTTCAGCAACTATACCAAGAATCTTATACCACTGTTTTTATTGTTCTTTTTTTTATATATATAGTGCAAAGCCAATCTATTATATCTGCGGTTTTACTCCTGAAAATGTTTCTAAGAATTACTGTTTCCACTTCATTCTACTGTTACCATCCAACCCTGGGATCCCAGCATCCTACACTGGACTAATAAACAGTCAACTTAGATGAACTTCCTTTCTCTGTTCTTTTTCATCCTACTAGTTGCTGACAAATGTATTTTTATAAATTCATTTACCGTCTCAAAAATGTGCATTAACTCCCTATTGACAATTGAGAAAATCCAAAACACTTTGACCTGGTAAGCTCTTGCACCATATATGTGCAAGCCATTTTGCTGGGGGTATGAAATATAAAATATTAATACAATCTTCACAACCTTGAGGATTATCACTTTCCCTTACAGATACAGAAACTAAAATTAACAGAATTAGTTAAGTACTTCTCTAAAGCCAAAAAATTAGGGGATAAGAAAGTTGAGATTAAAACATAGGTCTGTCTTGCTCCAAAGTACAATCCACAGTATAATGCTGATTTCCTGAATAGACTGGACAGATTTAACCTGTGGGCCATAATTTGCCCATGTCAGCTTCATTCTATTCTCTGGTACTCATTAAACTCATTTTTAACTTTATGATTTTACTTAATATTTTTTCCAATGTGAATACTTTCCTGATCCTCACTTGTACTTATCTAACTAAGTCAACTCATTCTTCAAGTTCCTATTTATTCCTCTACCTGCCATCTCAGAGTACTCAGACAACAAAGTTTTTTCTTAACTCACACAGCAATATCAATAGTTTAACACTCTACTTTCTGTAGCTGCCTCATGTAAACTGATTATCTGAAGTGGGCTCAAAGTAGGAAAAAACATGTGTCAGGCATAAGATTCATATATACTGCATATTTATTATTCAATGGCTAATTCATTTAACTCATAAAGTATACAGTCTTAAATTATTAAGATAATTTTGATTTTACATGAGCAAAAATAATTTCTTCCTCCCACATTGAATACTGCTGCATATAATTAAATCATTTTCCTATGAGAACAGTAAAATAATAAACTAAGGAAAGGCTTACTAGAATAGGATGTAGCATCCATTTTTCCAACTTTAACTGGAGAACCAATGCTTTTCATTTCAAGACCAACTTCATTCCAAATTGGCTCCAGTTTTTTACAATGGCCACACCATGGTGCATAGAACTTGTTAAAAAAAAAAAAAAGATAACCATTAAAATTGTGTGCTACTGTGAATATCAATCTTAATATTTAAAGAATCTCTTTGACTAAATGATCTGCTAATAATCTGTTTTAGACAAAAAGTTTAATTTTTAAAGTAGTTACATAACAAAAGATAAAACACACATAAACCTAGATAGGTTAACTCCTAGCATATATCCCAAAACTGATAAGATGTGAAGACCATTTTAAATGACTATTGATACCTACTTAAAACATACTCATTTTAATATAAAAACCCAAATATAATATTTGAGAAAACAAATTGAGCATATACATAAGCACTAACTGTATACTGCCATCTTTAAATGAATAGAAAATAATACTTAAAATGGTAAGGGTGGGTAATTAGCATAAAAGATTTACATACTCACATCTACAAGCCAAATGTCATCTTTTCGATTATCTTTAAACCTAAAGAAACAAAAAGAAAAATAAATCTTTGTATGTTATATCCACTTTACGATTCGTTAGGTAGGTAGGGATAATAAACTGATAAATAAGGGAGCATGAAGCAAATACTTTCTATAAATTTGTATGTAAAATTTTTGTTCAGTGATCTCTAAAGCATATTTCATCCACTAAACATCTTAACAATAAAATCTAATTACTTGGTCAAAGATAACTGCAGTAAGGAAATCAACAAAAAGAATTTAAGTAGGACGTAGTAGAAACACAAATATACGCCCCTCACACTTCTATTTTACACCTATGCAGAAAAGTTAACATAGCAGGCCTGAGGCTGCTATGATTAGAAAGACCCATTTCTAAGATTGTCCTTGGTTGGCATCTGTGACCTTGAATTATAGAAGGTTTCCCACCATTTCCTGGTAATGATGGCTCCACGTTCATTAAATGTTTGTGAAAAGTACCCAACTGGGGAATTGCTGCATTGAGATCCCAGATCGTTTGCCTGAAATGTGTAATCTAGGCTGGGGTAATCTTCTATCCCACCATCAGTCAGTTAGGTTTGTCCTTTAACTCTATTAAAATATTCAACCAACCCTGTGAATTAAGGATGATAATGGAAAGTCCATTGTATGCCCCATGATTGAGCCCATTGATGTGTAGCTTGGGCCAAATATCCAGGGCCATTTTCAGATGCAATGTTCTCGGGGTACTTGAATAGGAAACAAGGATGGTCTTGTAAAGTGTGGGCCAAGTCAGTAAACACAGGAAGATAGCTAAGCTAAACCCAGAGACATGTCAACTGCAGACAGGATGAAAAGAAACACTACAGACTGGATAAAGGGCCCATTGGCTTGACAGATCTGTTTCTAGGCAGTATTTTTAGTCTTAATCGGGATCCGACAAGCAGGAAAGCTTTTTCAAGCTGTTTTGGTGTCTTCTCACAACTGTGGCAAGTCCATGTGTTCTTCCCCAGTGTAGGATTATGTCTTGAATTTCCATGAGCCATCCTCTTGTGGATTCAAGAGGCAATTGGTGTTATATCTGCTAGCACTAGAGTGAGGAACAATTCAGTTTCCACATTTAGCTGACAAGCATGGTAAGGACCCTTTGTTAGTGTAAGGTCCTTTTCAGTGAGCATCCACGTGAGTAACAGAACAATTATTAGGATCAAAACCCCTTCCTCGTCCTCAGGCAGAGTTGCCACTCTTAGGGCACACCGAAGGAGGTGGTCTGTAGTGATGCACCCACAGGCACCATGAAGTTTAGCAAGACTGCCCCTTGTTAACAACGGTTCCCTCAGAATCAAAGTTTCTGTAAACAGACCACTAGCACTCTACAAGACCCATTAGTAAGAATGGCTAAGTGCTTCCATGGGGCAGCCAGGGTCAGGCTTTTTGCTCTTCTAGAACAACACTGTATTCAACCAATTATCCTCTC